ACCATTGGATCGGAGCTCATCGGTCTAGTGTCTAGGCGTTCGGACGCAAGATTTCTGTCCGTGATTAGTCAGTAACTAGTAAACACATTATAGAGACTTTTTACCGTATTTATTGACAGTAGCACATAATTGTTAGTCCATAGGAGCACCAAAATATTAATGCGTTACACAAATCAATGAATTTGTGGACGGGATTGGATACTCTCCGGATGCCCAGTAATTATATACACGTTGCCATATAGAAACATTTCAAAAGAGAATAAGCGTAGAAACTCCCTACTCTCTTGGCCGTACTAGGGCATTTAGAGATTTCGATGAGTGAGCAGTTAAGAACTGACAAACAGATTGTTGAAATCTTTTAGGACTAATTTTGGGCTTTTTACATACCTACAATGATGGTAAGTTTTTAAAATTATGGCTCATAAACATCTAGTTATTGAGAAAAAATTGTTTTATAATAATCCATCTTGTAGATCAGATCAGGATAGTTCAAAAATTCGTATATTTGATGCACGTAGCAAAGGTGAATTATTGCATACAATTGAAAATTTACATGAGGCGCCTATTGTATGTTTGGCTGTAAGTTCTCATGATTCTGTTTTGTGTTGTGTATTTGTAAATTTATCGGTTATACATAGTTCACATTTCATGAATGTTAATTAAATTATTAATAGTTATAATCATTTTTCAAGTACCTCATTTTATTCTCTTTGTTATTTGGTTTTTTGGAAGGATGTATGCTTTCAATATATAACCTCTCAGTTCTGTGTTCAAATCTACTACACTCATTTTATTTTGGGTAGAAATCACATAATTTATATGTGTTACAGCTCACTAAGTGAGTATAAACTTTACTACTCAGTAATGTAAATGATCAGTATAGAATTGAATTTATGGTTAAACTTTAGATGATAGCTCCCGAATAAACTCAATCTAATATTGAGTGTTCGACAATCAAGAGTTTGATGTACAAATATTGAACATTCTTTAAGTATCTAAACGTGTTGCATCACAGTAGAAAGTGTGCATCTAATTATCTGTCATCGGTAAAACAATCAATGAGTTCGTGGCTCAGCTTCAGATTTCTGGACTTCTTGACTTCTTATCCGAATCACTAAGTTCACTTTTTCAAATCATCTACAAAATGTCAAACAACCTCCAGATTTTCCATAAGTATTTTTTTTTTACTATCTTTTGAATTTTTTTTTATCATCCTTTACTTATTCTACAGTTTAATCCTGTATATGCATGTGCCTTAAGCGCTGATTCCGACGGTATGCTAGAATGTTGGTCTGGTCCAAAGAATAATTACAATTTTCCACAGACACTTAAATGGGAGTATAAATCAGACACAGATTTTTATTGTTTACTAGCTGAAAAAACCTTTGCATTTAGTGTTGTATTCTCTCCATCTGGCGAAATTCTAGCAGTACTTGGAGCAGATAGAAAAGTAAGTGTTCAACGTTTTTTTTACTCCCAGATTCTGATCTTTTTGTGTTTGCCTCTTTCGTCCATTACTCTATGCTACTTATTATCATTCAGTAGTTCGAATCTAATTCGAACGTTATGTAAGAAATGATCTCAACACTTGAAATTTAATAAATTGCAACATTTCGTTTCGTAAACAGGTCTTATCCTCTTTAGGGCAATAACCAGAACCGAAATTATCAAGAATGAAGTATATAGTAGTTTGTTGGATAAAACTTTGATATTATTTAAATTTAAAGTTTGAGATCATTTCAAGTACATTTTTATATATTTAGTGTTTCAAAAATACTTGGGTGCCCAATTCCTGTTGAACTATCCGTTCTGATTTAGTCCGATGTTCATGTAAAATAATTTGAACCATGGAACGTTTTGTGTTATCCTCAGTATATGAAGAAATATATGTTTGTCTCGACGAGTCTTTTGGCCTCATCGGTTTGTATTAATTCACTGCTGTAATCCACTCATGCTCTAGTGATGACATTTCTCCCTTGGTTTATAGTATATTCCTCCTTGTCTGTCATAGGCTTTGTGAATTTGATTGTGTAGGACATACTACCTGTTTTTTAGTAAATATTCCAATCAAACTACAACTATAAAAAATGAATTATGATATATTTACTCCCTAGTTTTCAGTTCATCCGATCACATGACAATTTCTTATACTGTGTATACTCTGCAGATATTGAATCCTTGAATCGTTGAATTTATTAATGTATGAAGTATCTCAACCAGGTACTATGATTGATATTCTCATCTACTTCATTATTTCTGAAGAAAGAATTTATAGTGTTGTTTTATTTTCAAGGTTTATACCTAGTCCTCCATGTTTCTCAATGATTTCTATCTTTGAAATGTTCTATTTAATACTGTCACATTTTAATTTAATTTAGTCTAATTAAGCTTTACCAAAATTTTGTATTTGATATTCATTCATTCAACACACCATTCCAGACAACATAATCATCAATAATCCTGGTTAACAAAATAAACATGTCGAATCTATGTAATAACATTTCACTATTTAAACACATAAACATTGGTACAAAAAGGTTCCTAAATATTTCTGAGTCACACAGACTATTGAATCTGTGTATGGGCTAGGATACCAAATCGGAGCATGTGGTTTTCTTATGGCGCTACTCACAAAGCTTTTGACCCATAAGTCCAATCCACAAGGCAGTGGAGCGACCTTAGAAGATGCAGTCTCAGTGAGCAAAGTAGGTTCATATTTCATTCGTCCCCTCGGGACTATGGAGTCAATGTGCACCATTAGTTTGAAATCAGGATTTTTCGACCTCCTAAATGAATCAGCCTTACTCAAAAATCTGAGTACAGTGCCATACAACCGCTTTTTGTCCTCTCGGTTTCATGGATAAACACCCACTCCACGAGTTGGCAGTGAGTGGGACTTCCTTGGTAGCAGCTATATATATATATTTGACTTAGAATCAATGATGAGAATGTGTAACTTCTTTAACTTATTTGGGGAAAAACATTTTCACAACCTTCTCATTCATATATTTATCTTAAATTAGTTTTATGGTTTGTGAAATCTTTATATGTCCTATACATTCATATTTTTATATAAATCAATATTACAGATTCGACTATTTCGTTTTTCTACCGGGAAATTAATTCGTGTTTATGATGAAAGTCTTCAACAGTATTCTAATTTACAACAGGTTTGTAATAATTAATCGATTGTTTATCATTTCATTTCGAACTTGATTGACTTTTTCTTCTTACTTAGGTGTACGATATTTGCGCATGCTTTTAGTGAAATGATAGACATTTAATAAATGCTAAAATTTTCAAAAAGCAAAAGTAATAGCCCAAGAGTTCTGTTGAAAAAAATTAAAGACAATTCGACTAAGAAAAATTTCTTGTTAACAATGTCATTTATTAAGTGCAATATGAAACCTAAATTACAATCATATAATTCCTAAGAAGGTTCTCTTCATGAGCATTAAGTTCAAGGGAGATCCTGGTTACTTACTTACTTACTTACTTACGCCTGTTACCCCCAATGGAGCATAGGCCGCCCACCAGTTTTCTCCAACCAGGTACAGGCGTTATAAAGAATTGTTTTGCGAAATTGATTTGTTTTAAAGGCTAGGAGAAGCGTTGTGGGCTCAACATATTAGTATACACTACACAAGCTTTGTATCGTCCTTTCTAGCTGAGGACAAGCTCTCGCGTTGGACCACATCAACATGTATTTATAAGTACACTTGCTTTTGTGGAGCAGATTATATAGATTGCATAAAAGTGAGCGCTTCCCCCAACGTATCTCTGATTACTGCCCTTTATGTCTTTCTAACCGTGAATGTAAATCTATGAATAGTTCAATATTAGAACGTCATGTGAACTCTGATCACATGGCCCAAACTGAAAATTTAAATAAAATCGTCTATACAGTTAGATGACTTATTTTTAAAAGGGAACAAATGAATAGTTTATGCACTGCAGAGTTGTTAGCAATCCATCATTTCGTACCTGAATTCTGTGTTCTATAGAGATATGCGCAAGTCATCATTCTTCATTGGCCCTAACACTTAATTTTCATGAACAGTAATTGTTTTTATTGCATCCTTCGAATATTTTTCGATTTTTTTTTGAAATAATGGTTTCCTAATCCCCATGGATGGGTCCTCCGTACCCAGTAGCCCGGTTAGAGCACCTGAAATTCTTCTTTTGTCTTTTCGATTTCCTAGACAACACTGATGTGAGAAAAGCAGTGGGTAGGACGTCCTTGGTAGTGGTTATACCCGCGTACTTATGTTTTCAAAAGTCCTAGATAGTAAGGATTTAAGTTATGGGTGACATATTTCAGAATATTAATAGTTCATTCGTATTCATTAATCAGTGCTCTCTTAACTACATTGCTTCATACTTGGTTACATTTAGAATTTGAACACTTTTACTGATTGCCTTTTTATATGTCATTGAAAAATATAGTAATTTGAACTGCAACCAGGATCTTTATTAAATTTCTCCTTAATTTATATAGAATACTTGACTTTCACTTATTTATACACCTAATTATTCATATAACATAGTGGTTTATTTAGACATTTTAACAATTTTTTTTGTTGTTATTAAATTTTTTTCTATTTCAGATTTCTACATGATCTAAAAAAAATAATCACACTGCATAGCATAAGCATACTCTCTGTTACATAATTTATGATTCTATCTAGTTTTAGGGTTTGTATAATTAAAACTATTTTACATCTATAGTCATTTTATGAGAATCATCATTTCTATATTGAAACACATAGTATATATGTTACTTGTATTGTCTTCTATTTTGAAGATATTTCTCCATTGGTATCATTAAAAATTAGTATAAACAGAGATTATACTAGTTTTGTGTATTTCTAATCCATCCTCACGTAGACAACGTTTTAGTTTGTCTGTCCATTGTTCTTTATATCTTTCTCTCCTTGTTAGTGATCTAAAAAATTTTGGCAATATTCATACGTTTTTGCCTTCAACAATACTTGTAAGAGCTCAAATTGACAAAATATTGCAACTGACGTTTGTATTGCTACTTATAAGTAGTAGCTTACTTTAAGTGAAATATTATCATTCACGTTAGTATTGATTCATGTTTATTCCATGTTTTTTTTTCCAGACTAAACAATTACTACCGAGTATGGAGTTCGGTCGGCGTTTGGCACAAGAAAAAGAGCTTGATCGTTCAGAATTTAAACATAGTTGTAATTTAGGTAAGTCTATTTTCTTTTATTTACTATATTTTATATCAAATTTCTTCCAAATCAGTCATGGTAAAAGTTTATTTTTAAGTATGAAGTACTTGTAACGATATGACTTGTTTTTAGAAATAAAGAACATATTTTGTAAATAATATATGACAGACTTTTTTATCTGAATGTAAAAATCTCTTTAAAAGTTTCTTTTTAACGTTGTAAAAATAGTATAGATGGAATGTTAGTAAAAGTTTAGAAGCTAAATACGTTTTGCATTTGTGTAAGCTTTTGATTTGTACCTGCCCTGTGTTATTACGTTGCTCCTAAATTAGGCAAAACAACCATTTAGTATTATATTATTTTGACAATGATAATGATTAGAACTGATGTCATAAATACAATAGTTGTTAGAATCTGTTCTCAATTCTAATTTCGAAAATTAAGTGAATCCTGATTACTAGCGTTGAATTTTACAGTTGAAATTGCTAACTGACCTTAGTTAAGCAACCATTGAAAACTAAGAATTACTGGATAGGTATTCTGCTCTTTTATGGGGCTCTTTCAGAGTGTGCATCCATAACCCTCCAAAAGTGATCGAAACCAAAATATTCAGCCATCTTGATGAGCGCCTAACCTTAAGATCAGTCGATATTCACTGATTTACATCGATAGCTTCAATTATTTCGCGATATTCCTCAACTATCTTCTAATACAAATTAGTAGATTACTGTTTCACATCACGATTGGATTCAAGTGGTCACATCTCATTGGGAATCTGTACGTGACGTAGCAAAATTAATTACAAATGCTTACATGAGGTGTCCTGTAGTATGACGGTAGACTCTACCTACAAGATTGTTTATTATTAGTATTCATCCAGTGGAGCGTTGCCTAAGGGTTGTTATGGTTAACAGCCGAAGACAAGAGGTCACGGTCATGACGTGTTTATAGTACTTTGAAGACCGAAACAGGAGCATGAGAAGACCCTAGCTTGGATTGCAGAATACACAAGAGATACAAATTAATGATTAAAAACTAGGTGTATATATTTTATAAATACTGTCTTCTCATCAACTATATGTATTTTATTTGCAATGGACTTTTTCCTATACTTACAACGAAATAACTGTCCAATGCTTCTTGGTTTTTAGTGGTTATCTAACGAAAGTTAGTTCGTAATATTAATTCTTCCTTCTCAGTCATTCATAGTCATTATTTATTTATTAGTTAACTAATTCAATGTTCTGGTTCTTAAACTATATAACCTTGTTTTTTTTCTGCTTACTTTTATTTTCTTCCTCTTGTTCAGTATTTGACTCTTCTAGTAATTTTCTAGCTTATGCTACTTTATTAGGCATAAAAATTATTAATATTGTATCAAATCGTGTAGTACGAAATCTTGGTGGACCAGAAAATCTACGTTTTATTCAACTTGCTTTTATGCCACCACGTAGTACTTCAATGTTTTATGGTTCAACCAATATTGGCTCGGGGACATCATCTTGTGTGCCTAGTTTAGAAATGCTTGCTATGGCAAATGATTCATTAATCGGCAGTAACAATAATACAAATTCAATAGCACAATGTACACCTGTAATAGTATGTACTGCATTTAAAAAAAATCGTATCTATTTATTTACAAATCGTGAACCACATGATGTCAAATCTGAGTAGGTTATCATTATTCAATAATTTTTTCTCTTTTTATATTGTTTGTATACATTCTTAGTTCATTAGACTAAATCATCTTCATAGTTATCATTTTCTCATTAGTAACTACCTTCTTGAGGAGTTTCTCGGAGTTCTAGTGAGAAACCGTTACCAGTGCAGTTCGACCGTATTGGGTGTGAGGGAGTTACTGATTGACGACCGTGGATGATAGTCGCGTAATATTGTGGATTGATTGTAGTTAGACATTAACACCACTGGATACCGCCAACTCACTGGTCTAGAGGTTAGGCGTTCTTGTGTGGGACCGAAATTCCTGGATTCGATTCTCGCTGGCGGGGCTGAGGATGTGCACTGATGATAAGTCCCGTACTAAGACGAAGTAGCCGTCCAGTGTTTCTGATTTTCTAATAGTGGTCTACCAGTAATCGATTCACGATCTCAGTTACTCATCTTTGTATACCCGAGATGTACTAATGATTACTTAATTCGACTGACAGTGAAAGTATAATATTATGTAATTAACACATTGTAAGAATTCTTGTTGGTTAGCACAGCTAATTAACGTCATTATTTGTAAAGTTTAATTTTTTTTTAATTTAGCCCCATGTGGTTTTTAGATGTTTAATTAGCTGTAATCAAATCACTTATCGTGAAATATATCTCCTGAAGAATTTATTTCGCATATAATATAGCTTTAGTAAACCACTCATAGACATTACCTGAAATCTGTGAGCCACCAAAAAATGTACTATTCATATGACTAACCTTTTATAATTTCTTTTTCTCTATGTTAAAATACTGTGTCAATAAAGGTCCTGGTAAATCTGTGGCCAGTATAACTACACTACACATATTGGTGCAGTGCATAGGTCGATATCTCCCATTGACTCTTAGATTTACCAGAGTTTGGTCTTATCACTGTTCAAAAAACTTGCCTAATAGGATAGAACTCCTATGGGATTTGGTCTGACAGTTCCCTGTGATGTTGTGTGGTATTGCATCTTGAACTGATGCATGTACGTACCAATTTCTACGTTGCAGTTGACTGACCTAATGAAACATTGAAATATACCTCATTTTGAGCAAAATCCCATTAGATTCATTATAATCCTAAGAACTATCAATATTTGATTAGACAATATATGGATAATGTTTTTTTCTAAATGAAAGCTATTTAGCGTGAAATGTGTAAATGTTTGTGTTTTCAACGCATTAGAAAATACAAATTTCTACTAATATTAGATCCTAATGTAGATCGGTGTCATTCATTTACTCTTTAATTAATGGTTATACTTTCATTAAATTTAATTTTAGCTGACACACGAAACTAAAGTGTTTTTTAAATTCATTTTCGAAATCGTTTGGAATTATCCTGTTCTTGATATATTTTGACTGAATTTTGATCTGTCTTGATTGGCGTACGGACAGATTACCTTGATATATTAAGTCCATTGTGACGTAGGTTATCGTTAGAATAGATAGATTGTGGCTAGCAATAAAATCTTAGACTCATGTTATTTGAGTGCTATATATAAACGGTTTTTTGATGGTTCCCAAATGCCGTGCTACGAGTGAGGAGAGTCCGCCCTCCCTCTCTGTCGAAATACTCATATGGCCACACGTATAGGTGTATGCAGCCACTGATTGCAATGTCCTACTCACTTCCTTCTCGCAGCGGTGGTGTTGTCTACGAAATTGAGAGAATGAGAAGTGAATGTCCGGTGCTTAAATCAGGTTGGTAGACACGGAGGATCTATTCACAGTAGTTGGAATACCCTCATTTCAAACCAGTGGTGCGCGTGGACTTTACAATCCTGAGGGAACAAATGTCGCATGAACTTATTTTCACTTATGGTCTACCACGGAGCTGCGTTTCCATACGTTTCTCCACTGCCCTGTGGATTAGACCTGTAGGCCAAAAGCTTAGGGAATGGTTCCTCCAACGAAACCATCGTTTTTGATTCCGGCACCTAGACAGTATAATAACCCATATTAACTCGCATAACTCTTTAAATGCCTTTTTTGCTAGCGTTTATATTTTAACTAATGATAATAATATTCCTCCTCTATTGATTAATTCCAGTACAATGTTTATATCATCAGCTGGTACACTAACATTTGACTTGAAATTACACATTTCAATGAAATATGTATTTAGTAAAATTTGTACCGTGTCTTATAACATTTATGTGCATCATTATGCATAATTGTTAACACAAACTGGTTTTTCGTACAATTTTCAAATCTCTCTTAAAATCATGAAGTTTCTGATTTCCAATTACTCTAGTCTGATATAATTCAATGAGCGTTAATTAAACCAATCATTCATCATACTTTTACACATATCATTTTTTTGCTGTTTTGTGTTTGTCTGTCCTAATCTACCTACCTACCTACCTACTGTATTGTATATCATCCTTTTTTCATTATCAACATTGTATTATTGTGGTGTATACACTGGTGTGTATATACACACACCCTTGTTATCCATTTAACCTTTATCTCTATTTTATTGCTTTTTCTCTGTATTTTCTTATTTAAACTATCAATCATATCTTGTCTTCATATTTATTTGTTTGAAAAGAAAAAGTTTTATAGCACAATTATGTCTATTCACACACATACAACCACACACACGCACACACACACACACACACGTCTATCTACTATGAAGTGCATTCATTGATGTATTTGTAATTGACTATGCCATACTCTTCATATTCACTATTATGTTTCTATACCTGTATGTATGTGTATATGCATTTTGTATAAAATAACGAAAAAAAAGAAAATCGTTTTTGTTTATTTTTTTCATTTTACTTCCTTTTCCTTTTTTCTTCTTTCTATGCACACCATTTTTACAGTGTTTGCATGAATTTCTTCCAAGTCTCTTTTTCTATAATACTCTCTTTTCTATTTTGGACAAGTTGAAAAAAAAAACATGTTTTCCAACAACAACAACATCATCATCATCATTATCAGGATGATAATAGTCGTTATCGATTTTAGTAGTCGTTATTAGACTAAATAGTTTCCTAGTGTTGTGTTGTATGTATATCTATGATGTATATACATATATAATCTTACCGTTATCTATTATTGATCTTGTCTAAGTAGTATAGTTTAGCTGAACTGATAAAGTGATTCATTTATTTTAAAATGAAATAGTAATGATTGATTTTTATCTTATTAAGTTCATCATCCGTTAACATATTACGATAAAGTCACTGAAATGAATTCTTAATCATGTCATATTTATTAATTTTGAGTTAGTTTAACGATGTTATATTGTCGTTACCTAGTGATTATCTTCGATAATGGACCCGAATGCCTTGACAGAGCTGAGGATGGAAAGAGTCCACTCGCCGTCTCGAAATATTCTCATATGGCCACGTGTCATAAAACGTTAATACTTATGTCATTGATTAACTAAAGTTATAAAAAATCAATCTAAGTTCACTTGGATAAATTGCTGAGTCATAATTCATAATCCTTTGGTTGAATTCTGTTATCCTCACTAACAAAATGATTTCGAAAATTTTTACTGTAGTTATTTGAAAATAAAGTAAATAGTTGATTAAAAGAATAATAACTAAATAATCCATCGATCAAGTATTTCCACTATGGACTGACATATGGCTAATAATTTCTGCATACCTATTTCATCATACATATTTATAGAATAAACTGAATTTAACCACATGTTTTTGCTTTCACTTCGCAACTGCAGTGGTGATACAGTCACACAAGGATCAACTGCTGAACGTGATGTATTCAATGAGAAACCAACTAAAGAAGAAGTATTAGCTGCAACAAGAGATTCAGCAACAGCTGCATCACGATTAGCTGGCAGTGCTATACTACACACAACATTAGGTGATATACATATTCGTCTATGTCCTAGAGAATGTCCTAGAACTGTAGAAAATTTTGTTGGTCATTCAAGAGCTGGTTATTATAATGGGCATATATTTCATAGAGTTATTAAAGGTTTCATGATTCAAACTGGTTGTCCTTTGGGTAAGAAATAAAGATTTATATACATATATATATATATATATATATATATATATATATATATATATTGATAACAGTAGGTTGAATCGAAGACTTGTTAATAATAATAACTTTTTTGTTTGTATACCTGAAAACAGCATTGTATAATCAATGGCTCCGCTAACATTGTATCGATCACACAGACTCTCAGTTTCAATATCGCATGGTTGGTGGAATGAATAATTGTATTTATTGTTGTTGTTGTCAATAGCTGACTTTCAAGCAGATTAATCAAAACAGATTCTCACTAACTTTTACTATGATTTGCAGTGTAGGAAGGATACCTATCTGTCAACTAACGGACTAGTGTACTGCATAACAATTTAGCGCTGTTCTTGTTTATTGGTATAAAACATGATCATCAAGATTGAAATATAGTTGCGGTATTCTATAAAGGTGTCTTCAAAATAATGCTTGTGTAGTTCAGGACTACTGAGTGAATAATACCGAAGTTAGACATAAGGCGCTAAATAAATATAGCAATCATAACCAACTGAGGTGGTTAGGACATGTGTTACCTATGCATATCCACAAATTACCTCAATGCGCGATGATGGTCAGTGTAGTAGTAGGCTGGGAGAAAGCTAAGGACGGCTGAAGAAAAAAACATGGCAAAAGTACCGGAAGACGACATGGACTATCAGATTAACACATATAGTTTAGTACAGACTACCTAATAGGGGTTTGCATAATTTTTGCAACCGAATCAATACAGAAATTTGTTGCTATTTCTGCTACTTTGGGATTTACTCCGACAATTTTATTTCATTGTACTGATACAATATAACAATTTGAACGAATATTGAAACTTTGCTAATTTGTAACAATTAGTGAACTCTTATTGTGTGTTCTCAATTCAAACAAATGATAATTGTTCTTATTGTAATTTGTAAAAATTTATCAATGATAGATGCTATTAAAAACCAATTGTGATTATACATAGTCGAACAGATATTTTTTTGCAATATATATATATATATATATATATATATATATATATAATTGATCTATGATTATTTTTATTATCTCATTTAGGTACCGGTACTGGTGGAGAATCGTTGTGGGGTGGTGAATTTGAAGATGAATTCCATCCTAGTCTAAGACATGATCGTCCATATACTGTGAGTATGGCAAATGCCGGTCCTAACACAAATGGTTCTCAATTTTTCATCACTGTTGCTCCAACTGTAAGTAGTATCTTATCGGCCTTTTTTCACTCTGTTTATTTTCTTAATTATATAACATTCACTTTATACCATCGCATTGAAATTGAATGTTTAATTAGATTCTATTTGATGCCTCTGCCGAAATTGAATTGAACATGCTCAATTCTCACTGACAAAACATGTAACCTTTAAGAGTATAAAGTTCAAATTTAAAAGTTCACTATTGGATGTAGTAAGCCAATCAGAGGCGATCTAATGAGATGGTCATTTTTAATGATTATGAGAAAATGTCCTAAAGAATGAATACATATCATTGGTCAAGAATAGGTTTCCTTTTGCTAAGCAGGTGGAATATATAATATAATATATATATATATATATATATATATATATATATATATATATATATACAGAGAGAGAGAGAGACAAACAGATGTTTGTGCATGTTATTCAGCTGGCAAATCAAATTACTATGCTACTCTTGCCTACTCATTCAAAAAGTTTGACGAGTTGACAATTATCGCGTTCAAATCTTCAACATTTCATATCATAACAACTATTCGAACTCTAATCAATATGGTCATTAGACCATACCATTCAATAATAACTATCTTGATTCTTATCCAGTTTTGTATATTCATAATAGTGTATAATGGTTTGAAATTTACTATATTGAACGATTAGTTTTTACGATATTCTATGTTTTCATCTTCTTTGCAATATAAAATAGCTTTAACAACCGAATAGGTTATGCAGGTAGCGTTCATATAAAAATTATGTAAGAAGTCGATAATATGAGCTTGTGCCTTAATAAATTGTGTAAGAAAATCATGAGTCTCTTTTATTATACATAACAACATGTTCTTATGTACAATGAATAATACAACAATCATATTGAAGCTAAGTTTTATGGTCATTTGATATCAATTCGATAAAGTAATTTGAAACACTTGTAACACTAGATAGTTTTTTTCTGTCTAATTAGTCTGTTTGTTTGTTTGTTTTCTTTTGTAAGTAGTTATTCATTTTACTTCTTCTCAATGGATATCTAGTCTACGATATATATAGAGTGGTTCTGATCTCTCTCTTTCTGGCTAATATGATATCTTCATGATAAAAAAAACATTTTTAATATGATGTTTACTGGGATTGAAGAATAGGGTATGAAAAAAGCTAGAGAAAGAGAGAGATAGAGAGAAAGAAAGAGCTAGACTAAAATGTGTCATCATCATCACCATCATGAATTTGTAGACTTTTACAATTGATTAATCATTGAATAGTGAATAAATTGTTAAAAAAATACATCAAGTCGTTTTTTAGTGCTAATTCAGTTCTATCGATCAAATTGTTGGGTGATACTGAGATTACCAGTTCCTTGACTACTCCAAGCACACCGTGTGACCAGTGTCAAATAGCACAGAATCTAGGTCAAGTGTTTCCTATCAACCACATCTACACTACTATTCTGCACATCAGACTGTTAAAGTAATTTTATGCAGGAAGGTGATTCTTACAATAACTGTCATTTTGGTTACCAATAATGACCAAAGATGACCGATATGATTCGGAATCGGCCACTGTAGTATAAATGTCTTTCATTAGATTCTCACTTGTAAAATAATCTTATACAGTCTTTTTTTCATGAATTTAACTTTTCTTAAATTATAATTGTTTATGCCCAAGCTTTTTTTTACTCTACGTATATCATCTACCTACTGTGTGACAGAAAAAATACAATCAATTCTGTCTTTGTATTCGACTTATTTGAATTTCATAAATTAAATTTCATAAATAAATTAAATTTATTTATTTATTATATTGTATTTTATTTTATTTTATTTTTTATTCTTTTAATGTATAATCCATAGCCTTGGTTAGACAATAAACATACTGTATTTGGTCGTGTTATCAAAGGTATGGAAGTGGTTCAGAAAATATCCAACATTAAAACAAATCCAAAGAATGACAAACCATTAGAAGATGTGAATATTATCAGTGTGACTGTAAAAGATTTAGGCGCTGGTATTTAAATCACATGTAATTAATTTTTAAAGGGAAAATTAATAAAAATATAAAAGATTCCACTTTTATACTATACCTCTCTCTCTCTCTCTCTCTCTCTATATATATATATATATATATATATATATATATATATATATATATATATATATTCTTTCTTTGAGTTTTTTCTGTAAAACATAAGCGCACATTGTAAAGATTCACTATTTTGTGTAAATGTGTACATGTTCAATTATTGGTCATTTCAACAATTCTGTATAAATAAATAAACAGTGAAGTAGAAATTGTGTTGTTGTTGTTGTTGTTGTTATAATTTGTATTTTTACAGTTGAAAACTTTGCTGCATGTTAAGTGATAATAACTGACAATTATTGATTTAGATTTTTATTTATACTAGAGCATAATTATTCGTACAATGAGGCACCTAAATATTTATGTGCCACACAAATCAGTGAATTTGCGTGTAGGGTTAGGATACTGTCTAGGTACCCAAGTCGAAAAAGGTAGTTTCCTTAGGGATCCACTACACAGCTTTCACACAACAAATTATGTACATTTATTTTGATTTCTTTACTAAAGAATTGGACGCATATTTTGTAATGTTGATTTATGTACACAAGAAAAATAACATTATTTATGTTCAGTCTAAGATCTGTGACAGATATTAAATCTCTGTTAGTAGTTATATATATTTAAATATATTGTTTGTTATTTATCAGTAATTTAGAATAATTTTAGTGTTTAAATATAAAAAAAAAAATTACAACAGTTTGTGACATTTTTACTTGTTCACCTATTCAACTGTTTCGTAAAGATTTCCTCCGTTGATATTCATCCCAATTATTCTGGTTTTGATGTGTGTTGTGGACTCTTCTTTATTTATAGATACATAGATTTGCATGATGTTCGATGGAGTTCAATGCAATAGACTGAACTTAGTGTATAAAATGTTGTGCGTTCAGAAAAATACGATTAAAATAATAATCAGTTTAATTATTACGTGGACAGTGGTCAAATTTCCTTCCTCTTAGATATTTATTATAAATTATTTTAATTCTAAACAATTTGCATCAGTTAAAAATATCTGAATATCTTATATAAAGTGCAAATGCGCCTAATTTTCATATAATTGAAAACTCTGTACTTATTGGACTGAAGAATGGTGTAAAACAGTCGATACTAGTATTCAAAATTTTCAAATATTATTCAGATAGACAGATACAACACAGAACTTCGTACTTATGCACATCAGTTCAGGTTGCCAAACCGCATTAGCACAGAGATGCAACTGTCAGTTCAAATCCAATAGTGCTAGTGATAGTAGAAGAATTACTGCTAACGGAGAAGATCAGGGCATAATTCAGTGAGATAAAGTGTGAAAGAGAAAGATAGAGTTGATGAAGAATTCAGAAGGTTAGAATATGACAGTACACAAAGAGTGAATGCACCTGCGCCATTGCAAACGATTTTGAGTCATGTCGTTCAAGGTCTCTAACTATCGGTGACTTACGTCTCACGGACCCCAACCAGCTCTCCTACATCTACCAACATGACTCAGTCCACTAGTAAGTGACTTCATGGATTTGTGCCATGTTTTGGTTTGGCCTCCCCTAGCTTTCTCCCAACCTATTCTTACAGAGCAAAATATAGCTCGTCGATTCAGTCGGTGGTTGGGCATTCGTAACACATGTCCCAACCACCTCAACTGATGAAGTTCCAATACTTCATCTATTGATCTGCCATCCTTACCTAGCACCCGTTTCTTAATAACAGCGTTGCTCACTCGGTAGTCCCAGGATATACGAGCAATGCTTCGGAGACATCTATGATATAAGAATAATGACCGATGAATGTCCTTTACTCTCAGCGGCCGTGTTTCGCATCCATATAGTAGAACGAAGTGAACTACTGCACTGTACTCTCGTCCTTTCGTTATCAAACGGATATCTCGCCTGCGCCATTGGTAACGCAAGTTGGTAAGAGCTAATTGAGCTTTCTCTATCCGTGCTGAGATTTCATCAGCACTGATGAGACTCCGGAGATATGTGAAGCGGTCTGTATGCTCGACTACTTCACTCCCTATCACTAGTTTAGGTACCGATGCAACCCAATCTTGAAGCAACATTTTGCATTTCGACAGGGAGAATCGCATCCCGAACGTGATTGCATTGTTACTTAGGGTGGTCAGAAGACTCTGCATTTTGTCAGCGTCTTCATCGAATAGAACTATATCATCGGCAAGCGTGTTTCCTGGAAGAAGGTCCACTCCTGAAGAGTCAGACGATGATAATGTTAACTCTAGAAGCATATCTACGACAAAGTTAAAGAATGGAGAGAGTGGACAGCCGTAATTTACACCACTTAACGTAACTAATTCCGAAGACAGTTCACCGTAAGCCCTTTGTCAACCGGTGCTGTTGGAGTAGAGAGCCTGTATATGGTAATGTACTTCTTTGGTACACCTCTTAATGAGAGACACTGCCACAGAACGTCGCGATCAACAGAGTCGAATGCAGCTTTAGGGTCGAGAAATACTACTATTGTGGGGCGTCTGAACGTGTGTCATTGTTCTAGGACCCAGATATTATACAATGGTCTGATCGCATGTATTGATGACGATTTATATACTAAATTTACAGAAATTCATCTTCAATGTTTCAAATTTCCACTTATTCTTTCCATCTAAATAAGAAGTAACAATTAGCTTAATGAATGTGCTTTATTTGTATTCCTTTACAAAATACGACATTTTAATCTGACTGTCATGAATGCACCTATCATTATAAATTAATGTCGTAATTTTAGTAATTAGTGCTGTGAAAAATGGAAGCTAATCAACAGTATAGTCAAACAAATTATAGTTAAATATTTCCACTAAAGTGTAACATATAAATATAATTGGCTTGATTGTGTTCTCCAACTGTTTGTCTTATTATTTTGTGTGGTTTATTTATTTAGTTAAACACGTGAACATTGGTATAAAGGGAGACCCTAATATTTATAGGCTACACAAATTATTAACCCAAAATGTCCTGATACGACCGAGAGTGGGGAGGGTTTGCTCTCCTTCTCCAAATTCTTTCTTATGGCCACCACTGTAAGAAACAGCCTATCACCCTACTGTTGGACTGTACCTCCTGATGTTGCTCTACTTCCTTGTGAATTAGATCTGTAGGTCAAAGGCTCGGAAAGTGATCTATGGAAACTATCTGCTTCGAATTTGAGCACCTGGGCCGTATCCTAGCCCATTGACGAATTCAGTTAGTTTGTGTATTCAGTTCCAAACGGTTAGATGACCATAAGTTTGTATTATTTCTCTGACTTAAAATAAATTCTACTATCTGATGTTGTGCCTTTATGAAATATACAAAAGTATGTGCAAGTTGATAATTATACCGCCCCTATGATCTGGCACAACCCTTTATCCATCGCCTGCGTTGCACAAATGTTATAATGTAATGAATATTGTAGATGCTGAAACTGGTTTTCTAATTAATATTATAATTCTGCTGTACAAATATTAATTAACTGGATTACTAGCTATAAATAGTCCGACTATCATAGGCTTTCGGTTAACCTATTTACCAAAGTTATACAATATGCTCTTTCTAATCTGTTGCCGGTCCACTATTTACAGTCTTCCCTATTCACAACCACTTTTGACTTGTTCTTGTATAAATTTTTTTATTACATGGTTTAATGTGGTCTGCTTTGTCTGTATATCAACCACATCTATTAAAAATGTAAGCATAGTAGAGGCTGATTGTTACATTCGAACTCACAGCGGGACATAAACTGAAAATTGCAAATTACGGGTCAATAGGAATTCGGTTGTTGGCTCAAGGTCAATAGTGGTTGTTGGGCGTGCAGCTAACGAAGTTAGAGACATTAGGCTGTTTAGAAAACAAGAGAGTTGAAATGGACCAAATTATACCTAGACTTCTCAAGGGTGACTTGTTACATGACATTGATCAGCCGTCATGAGGGTTAATAGTGCTAAACGATGGGTCGAACCGAGGTTGTTCACTTCACAGTATATAAGTATTTTTTCTGAGACATGATACAATGCAGCTTTTTACTTAGTGATAAATTATTAAAGTGAACTTATTCGGTAAATTTATGCAACTGTTTTTCAAATATTCTGAAACGATAAGATTTTGTTAGAAGTTGTCAGCTCCAAAGTATTTGCTATTTTCAAATCTTAAATTGTCACTTATATTTTAAATATTGTTTCAAGTTTAAAACATCAATTCTCTTGATGATGAATTTCACGTGTGTATTTAGACAGATAAACTGTGTGTTGTGAAAATCAAATATTTTATCTTTATCATGACATATTTAAGTTACTATCAAAATTTTCGATCCATTCTTTCCGAGTTACTATTATTCACTCGTCTTTTGGTCTGGTCATATTTCCGCATATATCGTGGTTGTTTCTCTTCCCGTTTGTGTGTTCACCACTTACTTCGCTTATTACATTTCTGGCTTATTTTCGTGTGACTATAAATACTGAGTCATACTTTATCGCAGGGAGTTGGCTCTCTCGCTCTTTGTATTCTCGTCTGTCTGCTTAGATAAATGCATGAACGATTTCTTGAAATAAACAAATCCAACCGAATCAGCAGTTAACTTCTTATTACCGCCGTCACACAAAAGAGGTACACCTAAGTATGATATACGGAAACTGAAGGACAGATTTATTCAATCACATACCTGATCATTCATAAATGTCAGAGTCATCTCAGGCCGATAAAATAGTGAGGTCGACGACGAACACAACGTAGCCCGCTAAAACTCATTACAATAATACCAATCAATGATACGTAAACTACTGGTTACATTTTTAACGAAATTACTGAATTCATTAAGTAACTATTGTAATACTTATCAAAGCACTAAACATCAATGTGATATATACATATACATTTATATATATGCTAGTAGATAGAAAAAATTAAACCATAAACATGTGTCATCATATTTGATTAGTGTAAATAATCATTCGTTTCACAAGATTGAAATAGCTTGTGCAAAAAAAATAAACCAAATGTTGGCCGTTGAGATTTTGCCACAGGAATAAATGAATCAACTTAATGGTT